AATGTTGATCAATGACTCCGAAACAACTGAACAGAGAAGTTCTACAATAATTAAAAATAATTTAACGCTTTTCTATTTTGTGATTACGACGATTTTACGATGCAACATGCATTGAATTTTAAGTTAGAAGAAAAAAGTCAATCAGTGCATGTGGACAACAAAGGGTTGAATAAGTAAAGGGTTAGGGTGACACCCTCGATGACATCCATGGTAGCTTTGATGCGAGTCTTGACCAGTTTTTCGAAGCTTTAGTGACCATCAGGGTGAGTGCTACTGGCTGGTAGTCATTCAGACCAGTCACTGTAGAGCTCTTTGGAACTTGGATGATGGTGGTGGTCTTCAGGCAGGTGGGAACAGCTGCCAGGGTAAGTGAAGAGTTCAAGATGTCGGCCAGCACCTCGTAGAGCTGATCGGCACATTCAGCACCTTCCCGAGATGTTGTCTGGGCCAGTTGCCTTGTGAGGATTAATCCTCCTGAAGGTCCTCCTTACTTGGAGTCAATTCATTTCTAAAGCTCCAAGTCACAACAGAAGTCGTCTCAGGGACTGAACAGCAACATTCATCTATAAAATAATAATTGAACAGAAACATTCATGTATAAAATAATAATTGAACAGAAACATTCATGTATAAAATAATAATTAACATTATTTATGTGAGGAGCAGCTTTGAGTTTAACTCCATCACTGAACTCTCATCTTGAACAAGCATGAAGGCGACAGTGGAAAGAAAAACTCCCTCATGAGGAAGAAACCTTTAGCAGAACCAGGATCAGGACAAGAGGACCATCTGCTTCGACCGGCTGGGTTTGGTAGGAATAGATACACAATGGCAGGTCAAGAATCACATGTTAAGATAGAAATAGTATCAAATGAAAACTATTCAATTTTAACAATTCATTTAAGGAAATGAGGTCAGTTTGTTCTCTAGTAGTCTAAGTCTATAGCAGCAGAACAAGCCAACCCTAACAGTTCATCCAACCTTTATTTCTACAGGTAAATCCCATTGAGCCTCGAGGACTCTTTTACAAGAGAGACCTGATTTAACAAAGAATGATGAAACAATGGACAGTTATAAAAAGTCATACTCCAGTTTTTTTTTTTTTTTTTTAAACAAATAGAATGGCTAAAAGTAACAAAAACAGCTAGATTCTAAGGCGAATGTAGAAACTAAAAACAGGAACATGTCTGCATTGGACCCTGCCAGGAGTCCAACAGATTCTTAAAGCCACTTAGAGAGGTCAAAGGTCGAGAGCTTCAGATCTTTTTACAAGATCTTCCAGGAAACAGGAGCGGAGTAGGAGAAGGTCCTTTTGTCTAGTTCAGTCCTCACTGAGGGAACACTGCAGGTAACTTCCGGTAAGATGGCCCCATGTACTTGGCTTGCAATCCACCTCTGCTGATGGTGTTCGGATTATTTCTGTTTTGTTCGTTTTTTATCTGTGGTATGAATTCACTCATGTATGACCGACAACAGCTGCTGGATCTTCGTTTTTCTGTCACTGATGTCGCTTATTTGGACCATTATCAGCGTACCTCTGGTGGTGGATTATTAACAATATTCAAATCAACTTTTGACTGTAAACAACTGCCCATCCCAGTTTCCCGCTCCAGCTTTGAGCTGAGCGTCTTTGAACTCGGACATTCACCTGCGACGTTATTTGCACTCGTCTACCGCCCACCTCGATCTAAGGACTTCATAAATGAGTTTTCTGACTTCTTGGCTGAAATCACACCAAAATATGAGCATGTTTTCATTATTGGGGACTTTAATTTGCACGTGTGCTGTCAGGAGAAGCCCTTGGTTAAGGACTTTTTAGATTTATTGGACTCATTTAATTTAACTCAGCATGTAAACGGTCAAGTCCTGTTTAAAAACTCACTACTATTCAGCAGCTTTCAACACCAGATGATCTGTGTTTGATCCTGTATGCTCCACACTGGTTAGTCGTCATTATCTGCATCGTTTATATGTCTTTATTCTGATTTACCTCATTTTGTATTTTGCTTTGTGTGTTACCTGTTGTTCTGTCTGTACAGCACTTTGGTTGGCCTTGTAGCTGTTTTAAGTGCTTTATAAATAAAGTGGTATGGTAATGTCTTAAGAGCGCACTCCGTAGCTGCACTCAAAAGGAAAGTCTTAAACTGGACAATGTGTCAGCCTCACGGACAGAAACTGGAAGTTGGTTCCACAAGAGAGGAGCCTGAGAACTGAAAGATCTTCCTCCCATTCTGCTGCTGGAAACTCTAGAAACCACAAGTAAACCTGCAGTCTGAGAGTGAAGTGCTCTGTTAGTAAAATATGGAACAATAAGATCTGCAATATACTGCTTGGCCAAAAAAAAGTTGCCACCAAAAAAAAAAAATTAAAAAAAAAGGTCACTAATATTTGGTTGGACCTCCTTTATCTTTGATCACATCGTTCTCTGTGTCATTGTTTCAATAAACTTCTTCAACGTCACAAGATCTGTTTCATCCAGTGTTGCTTTAATGTTTCACCAACATGTTTCATTGATGACAGACACTGGTCATGATGGTGCATCACTTCTCCTGCCTCTCTTCTGACCCTGATGCTCCATCACTCTGGAACAGGGTCAGTCTGGACTCATCAGACCACATGACCTTCCATTGCTCCAGAGTCCAATCTTTATGCTCCCAAGCAAACTGAAGCCTTTTTTTCCAGTTAGCCTCACTGGTTAATGGTTTTCTTAAGGCTACCCAGCTGTTCAGTCCAGCCCCTTGAGTTCCTTCACCTTGTGCATGTTTAAATGTTCTTACTGTCTCTATGAACCACAGCCCTGAGTGCTGCTGGTGTTTTTCTTCCATTTGATTTCACCAAATGTTTAAATGATCACTGATCACGATCATTCAGGATTTATTTCAGGCCACATTTCTTCCTGGAAGACGATGGGTCCCCACTGTCCTTCCAGTTTTTAATAATCGTTGGACAGTTCTTAACCCAGTTTTAGTTTCTACAACCTCCTGAGATGTTTCCTCTGCTTGATGCCAATGATTTGACCCTTCTCAAACAGACGGACATCTTTTCTACGACCACGCCGTGAGTCTTTCATCATGTTGTTGAAGAAATGAGAAGCAACTCATTGCACCAGTTGGAGTTAAAGAACTTGTTGCAGCTGAAAGATGATCGTCCGTGCACTGATGATCCAGCAGGAGGCTCGGACCTGTTTGATTAGTTAAATCCAGCTGGAGACTTGTTTTTTAGCCAGGCACTGTATAAGATGGAGCTAGGTTGTTGAGAGCTTTGTAGATTAGAAGCAAGATTTTAAATTCAATTCTGGACCTGACAGCTGAGATCATGCTGAGGAACTTCTCTTCAGATGGTGAGGTGAGTCTGGTGCTCGGTAGTCTATTTGGGTCTTTAAAGTGGGCATAGAACCTGTTCAGACCATCAGGCAGTTATGTGTCCCTAAGGCATTGTGCAACCTTGCTTTCATAGTCTGTTGTGCACTTAATGCCCCTTCACGTGCTCCATGGGTCTTTTGAGGAGCAATGTCCCTGGATTTTCTGTGCACATGTTGTTTTGGCCCTCTTTATACCAGCAACCTCTTTCCTTTTCCTCCCCAGTTCCTGAGTCACCAGACCTCAAGGCAATGTTCATGGCTTTCACCAGCGTATGGACCTCTGCGTTCAGCCAGAGTTTCTGGTTGGGGTAGCTCTTCACAGTCTTGGTGGTGGTGACATCATCAACACACTTGCTGATGTATCCAAGGAGAGCAGATGTGTATTCCTCCAGATCCAGCTCTCCCTCATTTACAGCAGCCTCCCTGAAGATCTGCCAGTCTGTACATGCAAAACAGTTCTGCAGTACAGAGTCGCTGGGCCATATGGTGATGGTCCTCTGTGTGAGTCGGGAGGGGGGGGGGGGGGGGGGGGGGGGGGGTAGACAGGGACCAGAAAGATGGAGATGTGGTCAGAGAGGCCAATGTGGGGGCAGGGTACGGCTTTATGCATCTCGTATGTTGACATTTCACAGTCAATTGTTGTAAAGCCTCGGAGCATGAGCTGTTCATTAGAACACAGTTTGTGGACCAATATTTGTTTACATAGATGCAACTAAAGTCTTTACGCTAATTTCAGCTCGTTATGCTCCGTTCAGCTTTTTTCTGCTAGTTTTTTTTAGTAATTTTAGCTTCTTTCTGCCTTTTCACCCACTTTTCGGCTGTTTTTTGATAGATCCAGTTTTTTTTTTTTTTAACTAATTTCCTATTTTTTGTGTTCATTTCTGCTTAACCTAATTCAGCAAAGATGTTTTTTTTTATGCTAATTTAGGGTTGGTCTTCCATTTCACCTACATTTCAGCTTGTTTTTTTTTTGCTAATTTCAGCAGTTTTCAGCAATAAGCATTCACACTGCATTTTCACTGGAAATGCAATTTTTCTAGTTACTGCTAAAGGTTTCTTCCTCATGAGGGAGTTTTTCTTTCCACTGTCGCCTTCATGCTTGTTCAAGATGAGAGTTCAGTGATGGAGTTAAACCCAAAGCTGCTCCTCAGATAAATAATGTTCAATTATTATTTTATACATGAATGTTTCTGTTCAGTGCTCTGAAATGACTTCTGTTGCGACTTGGTGCTATATAAATAAACAAAAATGAAACTGAATTGAATGAAATAGTTTAAATTAAAATGGAACTCAAAATGTGAGATTTGGAACTGAAAATGTGCACAGTCATTCTTTCAAGTGTGTGTGTTTAAAAAAAGCCTTGTGCCCACCCGTTACACTCGGTGTTTGTTTGTTACCCGTCTGTGCATGCACATGCCAAAACAGGACATTCCAAGCAAAACACACAAATATACACACACTGTATGGAGCAACGTGGTGCATAATGCTACCACATGGCATTGTAACATAACAAGAACCATCAAAGGAAATGTGATCCAGCGCCTCTTTGCCTCCCCGTCTCTTGAAGTCAGATCTTTAAGCATATCAAACGGGGTATGACTGCATGCACTGCAATGAAAACTGGTAAATGTCCCCTCACCTGCCCGCCACGTTGGGATCAACATTTCTTGACAGCAGCAGCTCCACACAACGTGCAATTCTGTCCTCACTTGCAGATGCAGTGCAACTGGCCATGAGCACTGTCCAATGATCTGCACACGTCACACATCAAGAGCCACAATTACTTACCGGTAACACATTTACTTTATATGTGATTAAAATTGATAGAAACAATAAACTGACAGCAAAACGTGGAAAGAATGACCATAACTGGTGGAACAGAAACTTAAAGACCGTGACAAATACAGACACTAAAGTTCACAACATCGGAACGTGTCTGAAAGATGGGTCAGACACATTAAAGTCATACTCCGGTCATTTTGAGATGCTGTTTCCAGGGCAGTACATTGTTTTCTTGAGCATATTGCTCTGAAGGATTTGTAGCACAGGACAAAATAAAATAGTGGAATGAAGAGGGGGAATTGGATAGATGATCCGACTGTGCATGTTGTGAGCATGATAACTTGAAAACTAAATGAAAGTGCCGACTTCCAATTTAGTGTGTGGCTACATCTAGGAGAAAGACGGGTTCCATTCAGAAACCGAGCTGCCACTTCAAAACCTAAGACGGCTGCCACCATACATAAATGTAAACCAGCCCCCCATACAATCTCAGGAAACTATAGGGGGCGTCACGGTGGCACAGTTTGTAGAGCTGCTGCCTCTCAGCGAGACGGTCGATATGCAACAAAAGTCACCTCAGGGCACTATAAAAGAAAGTTCTCTTACAGTACGTTATAAAAGGCAAATGAGTAAAAGCAGCGTTTCCCCTATCATTATTTAATAACCTTTATCTAACCAGGTAAACCCCATCGACATCACGGATCTCTTTTGTAAGGGAGGACTGGGCCTGAAGGGCCTAACATGCATGTTTTTGGTCTGTGGGAGGAAACCGAAGTACCTGGAGAAAACCCACGCAGCACGAGAAGAACATGCAAACTCCACAGAGAAAGACCCCATGTCCAACCGGGGATTGAACACAGGACCTTCTTGCTGTGAGGCAACAGTGCTAACCACTGAGCTGTCGTGCTGCCAGGAGCCATTACACAAGCCAGGGTCCCTGACCAGTCGACAGAACCGAGCGCCCTGCCTACCAACGATCATCACATGTGGAACAGCAGAAATTAAACTATTAAAAAAGAAACCGTATACAAGAATCTAAGATCTACGCTAAACACTAATGATGTAATTTTTTTATTAAACCTTTATTTAACCAGATAAAAACCCATCGAGATCAAGACGTCTTTCACAAGGGTGACCTGGCCAAGAACCGGCAGCAGCAGCACACGTCATAAAAACAAGACAAGTAGCACGATTAGATGAAGACTTCAGAAATATAGAAAAATATAAAACATACAGTATAACAGTAAATGGCAATAATTGTTATAAATAATTTAAAATAATAACAATTTAAGATCCGGTTTACTTTCGAATCCAGTTCAAAATACTCATGTACGTCTACAAATCACTGAACAGTGTCCCCCAGAAACTGGGTTTCCACCGGGAGCCTGAGAAGCTGCTGCTCTACTGCAAGCGGCAACAGCAACGTACGGCTAAACACTGACATGACACCCAGCCCCGTAGTGCTAAGCTAGCGGGCGGGCGACACAGACGTGCCTCCATCCCGTCCCCGCGCTCCCTCCCTCCATAGACTAAAAGTACGACGAGCACCCTGTCATCTAAGGGAAGCACAAAGTGATTCTCCCATCCTGAGCAGCTCATTGGCGACAGTGGAAAGGAATGATTCCCTTTTAACAAGAAGAAACCTCCAGCAGAACCAGAACCAGACGGAGGACGGGCACCAATCAGTCTCGACTGACTGGGGTTAGAGAGGACAGGGCAGAGTCACGGACACAGAACGACTGGTTCAGGTGTAGATTCTATGAGAATAACTGAAGTCTTGTAGCTGTTCCTCTGGTTCCAGAGTTAAGGGCCTCACTAAGTGAAGTTAACCACACTTTGCATTTAACTGCAAGAGACCCCCTGAACGCGCTTCCTCTGTATGAAGGTCTGTGTCTACGCAGCTGTGAGTGCTTACGTTACGAGCCCGTTGGTGTAAACCAGACTGCTGCTTTGCGTACAACGACTGGTGTAAATAAATCTGCGGCCTGAGAACTGGTGAGAGGGCAGCACAGCAGCATGATGAGCGTTATCAATCACTCCTGCATTCCTGCACTCAGCCTCACTGCTTGGACTAACACCACCCGGACGTGACCACACGTCATTCTCCTTTAATCGTTTCCTTCGCTGCCTCAAGCTTCAGATGCCAAGTGCATGGGAAATCAGTCACAGACAGTTTAACTCTGCAATCTGGACTTGGAGCTTAATTAACATCAGACATAAAACTTTCAGAGTAATGTGGTAACAGGTAAGAAAAAATGATTTTATTTGGCTTCCGTTCATTTCGAGTAAATAAAGAGGCACAAACAGGTAACAAGGGCTACAAACTGGTACAAAACTTTTACCCCGAGTCAATATTCAACACTTCTGAAGTTACAGCAGTTTCTGCCAGATGTTTTATGCATAAAATGGGAAACTGCCTTGTAGCATCTTTTGTTTTGAACTCAGACTTGGTGCAGCAGATGCCTTCAATTGTTCTTGCTTTGTGATAAGTTAGGAATATGCATCAACTAAAAACAACTCAAAGGATCATCGGAGTGTTTCTCCAAAAGGTCCTGTTTGGCGTCATCACCTTCAAGTAAAGTCAGATGAGAATATTGGTGCATTACCAGCCCTCTGAATACTGCAGGTGGGGAAATTTAAAAACTGTGCCAAAGGGAACGCAGACGCCAAAGAACAAGAGGCCATCAAGTGATTTGAGAAAAAGAGCAGATATTTAAGACTGAAGAGCTGCAGTGCCTAATCAAACCTCCTGCCATGAGTTTATTCCCATTTATTAACGAGTGGCTACAAATCACAAAGTCAGTGAAGTGCAGAAAAGGAGCGGTGAGGATGAGAGATCCATTTTTTGATGCATCTGAATGCAGACCTGATTCTAAATCCATTAAAAATGTCCAAAATTAATAACGTTAATGGGCAGCACAGTGGCACAACTGGAAGAGCTGCTGCCTCTCTGTGAGTAGGTTGTCCTGGTTCAAACCCCGGCCGGAGGCCTTTCTGGGTGGAGTCTGCATGTTCTCTCCGTGCTGCGGGGGTTTACTCCAGGTGCTCCAGTTTCCTCCCACAGACCAAAAACATGCATGTTAGGCTGATTGGTAACTAAATTGTCCCGAGGTGAGAGAGAGAGACTGAATGATTGTCTCGTTTGTCTCCATTTGTCCCTGGGATGGAAAAAGGAAGAAGCGGGTAAAAGATGGACGGACGGACGGATTTAATGTTAACGTCATGAGAAATGCAAAAAGTGGAACTCTGAAACGTGAAAGTGCAGTCCTTGACATTTTATGTTGTGCACGCCACAGAAACAACACACACACACACACACATATATATATATTTATATATACACACACACACACATTTGGGGAATGGTGGCAAAGAGGTTAGAGAAGGTGGGCCTGTGATCGGAAGGTCACCGGTTCGACTCCCCGTACCGACATCAAAATGTGGGTGGTATAAGTGAAGCACCCACACCTGTCTCCACCCTCATTTGCCCCACCTGTGCCCTTGAGCAAGGTCCTTAACCCCCACCACCTGCTCCACACAGAGGGCTGTGGTAGCTCGGTGGTCTGTGGTTTTGTTGGGAAGGACATCCGGTGTAAAAACAACCACCAAGTCTTTGTGCGAGTTAGTTCACTGTGACCCTTGAAGGAGCAGCAGAAAGAAGAAAAAATAAAAAGTAAAATACATATAAATTTTAAATTCAACTTGTGTATTTTAGTAGCTTTAGATGAGAATTCAATCAGAAAGTAAAAGACCACTTCAAAATATGTGTGGAGCTGCTTAAAAAAGTCTACAACTACCACAACCTGCCAAACTAAAGTTAATATTGTTTAAACTTTGGCTGCAGTAAAAAGCAATAAAACATAGAACTGCTGGGTTTCACTGATAAAGTCTTACCTTGACTTGCTTAGACTGGTTGCATTAATCACCTTTACAGGAGGGGAGTGGACTCATTGGCAGGCAAACAAGTTTGACCAGTAAGTTTAAAAAAAGAACAGTACCTACAGACCACAAGCCTGCGGATACCGAGCGTTTTGCTCTGAACAGATAAATGTTGAAATGAGAATAACTCTTAACGCATCAGAGAGCCAAGACCAAGCTACCTTTTGAAAGGAGTTGTACTTTTTTAATTTGTAATAATATTCATACAACATTTATTGTTGTATCTGAACTGACAGGACAGCTGCTTAAAGTGAAAAATGAAGGAACTTGTTAAAAGATAAGTTGTCAAAGTGTGCATTAGGTTTCTATCAGTTACTCTATTAATTTAATATTTTTTCAGGATGTAAAAATGTAAATCAAAACGTCGTGTCAAACTGGTTGAAAACAACAAAGTCCATGCTCAACAATCCAGGTATACAATCCAACAGTTTTCAGTCGGGTCATCTGGTCCACATGGCCGGACTGAAAACTGTTGGATAAATCAAAATGTGTCATTGTGACCGACAAATGGCTTAAAAATCTCAATTTTATTTCTTGTCAAGATCTCAATTACACATTGGTACAACACTGGTTTATTCACCGAGATTAACATTTAGGGTTAGAAAAAATAATCATAGATTCCTCTGAAAAGGTTCAGATACACAAACTGGTCTAAAAACGACTAATGAAGCGGTCAACATATGGAGAAAAAGGCATGGGGAATATTAATCATGCCAACAGTTCTCCTGCTCTTTCTCTCCAGTCGTCTCTGGCCCAGAATCCAGATTTACCAGAGCAGATTAGAAGTATCAGTCTGGCAGAGTGGACATCTAACGGCTTGTCAAACTTCGCAGACCTAGTGGTCTATTGGGGGGGGCATCTGGGGGTTTGTATTGCGTGCGGTTGTCTGGGGGCAGGGGTTTGTTAGCGTAGTGCTACATTAGTGCCGGCTGTTGTCGACGTGGGGGGGCTTAGCGGAGCGCTACGTTTGTTTTGCTCACGGTTCGGAGTCTGAGCTGAGCTGCTAATCTCTGCTCCCCATCCTGAAGGGGTGGGGCTGTGTGGAGGTGGGTGGGGGATTTGGTAGGCGGGACGCCCTCCTTGAATAAGGGTAGAGGAAACACCGTCACTGGAGCACATCATGACTGATTTTAATATTCCCATAAAGATTTTTAAAACGTCTCCAAATCCATCACTTTTTAGGATCGCTCTGGCAGAATTTGTAGAGCCAGACTGAAAATCATAATTTTGACCAGATCTCTTAAAGGATTCATGCTTCATTACTTTATTATAAAACTTCTAGATATGACGCTGAGGCTGTCATGTGAGCGTGAATTGAAGGCGACATTCAATCCTCCAGGCAAATCACTTTTAATACGTCTTTAACACAAGACTGTTGGGAAAGGGTGGATTGTTCTCTTCAGGTCGGGGGTGAGGTTCTGCCTCAAGTGGAGGAGTTCAAGTATCTCAGGGTTTTATTCATGAGTGAGGGAAGAATGAAGCGTGAGATTGACAGACGGACTAGTGCAGCGTCTGCAGTATTGTGGACTCTGTACCGGTCCTTTGCAGTGAAGAGGGAGCTGAGCTGTAAGACAAAGCTCTCCATTTACAGGTCAGTCTACGTTCCTCCCCTCACCTCTGGTCATGAACTCTGGTAAGGATGCTCCCTGGGAGCCTCCCTAGGGAGATGCTTTGGCCATGTCGGACTGGGAGGAGATCCCAGGCAAGACCCAGGACACGCTGGAGAGACTACGTCTCCCAGTTGGCCAGAGAACACCTTGGAGTCCTCCCAGAAGAGCTGGAAGAGGTGGCTGTGGAGAGAGAGGGACCTCCCTGCTCTGATGCTGCCCCAGAGACCCCACTTTGGAACAAGTGGAAGGTGATGGATGGATGGACTATTACTCCAGTGTCTAAGAAACCAGATGCATAAATCTTAAGTGACTTTAGACCAGTGTTGCTCACATCAGTGGCCATGAGGTGCATGGAAATGTTTGACTGAGACACATGAACTCTGTGGTCCCTGAAACTGTTGCCTCTCTTGTTTGCCTGATGCTTTTCCTCAATTACAGCTCTGCTTTTAACGTCATCCAGCCAGGAAAGTTGATTGAAAGCTGACCAATCTAGGAGTTCCAACTGCCACCTATGACTGGATTTTGGATTTCCTTATGAACAGACGGCAGGTGGTGAGGATGGAAGGAAGGATCTCCACTGAGCTTACAGTCAGCACTGGAACCCCACAAGGCTGCTGCCTCAGTCCAAAACTTTTGTTACCCTCTACACCCATGACTGTACCTCCATCCTGGACAATACAGCCATCATAAAATTTGATGATGACACAACCATTGTGGGCTTCATTAAGGGTGGGGATGAGATGGAATACAGAGCAGTGGTGAACAACATCCTTGTCTATGGGGAAGAGAATGTGCTCATAATTGTAGACAAAGAAAACAATACCAGAAGCACCCTTATTTCATTAGAGTACTCGGGAAGGCTGGGGTCAGTCACAGTCCACTTACACAAGCTTACAGAGGACTGATGGAGAGCATCCTCACAACAGGTTTCACTGTCTGGTATGGCAATACCACCCAAACAGAACTAATGAGAACATAATTAGGACACAACTCCAATCCATGGACACAATAAAACACACAACACTGTCAGAAGCAGGCCAATAACATCATCGAGCTCATTCTCTTTGACCCAACACATACAATCTGAAGAAAAGCAGAACGGACAGCACTGTCACGCACAAAACATGGTGAACAACAGCTTTTTCCACACCACGGTGAGTTATGGCAAAAAAACTAAAGGATTCATATGTGACATAACAGTTTGCGCAGTATTTATGTTTTTTTTTTAATTGTATTTCATAAATTGTCCCTACGTGAGAGAGAGAGTGAATGGTTGTCTTGTTTGTCTCCAGGTGTCCCTGTGATGGACTGGAGACCTGTCCAGGGTGTCCCCCTCCTCTCGCACAGTAATGTCCGGACATGGGTACCAGTGACCCCGGCGACCCAAAAAGGAAGAAGCGGGTAAAGATAATGGATGGATTTTAAGCAGTTCAACTTTTTCTTGCACTGACTGACTCAAGTGGTTTGCACAAAAAGTTCCTATGTGCTCATGCTAGGTGTACGTGCACAAATTACCAACAGAGTCTTGAAATAAATACAGAAACATGCTAAAAATCAAGACATTGCAAAAACCCAAAACTAAAAATGACAGTTTCTGGAGTTTCTATGAATGATGAACTTCTGTAAACATATATGACCTTTGCTGAAGTTGGCACTGGCTCCTTTGTCCAGTAGCAGTTTGGCCAAGTCATAGTTTGCCACACTGACGGCACTCATCAGAGGAGTCCATCCAAAGCCCAGTCTGGTTTCCACGTCCATCCCTGTCCAAAACATAACCAATGCATGACATCTTAAAAAGTAGTTTTAAAAACATAAAACAAAACCATTAAAAAAAAAAAATTATTAAATAGTAGTACACTTGTCCCAAATACACAAATGAGGATTTGGTTACACACGGCTCCTCTTTTCTAATAAAAAGGGAGAAAAAGCAAAATGTGGTGCCTTTGATAAGAAAGACGAGCTTTCATTGTGCAATACGAAAACTACCGTACCCACCACTGCACCCAGTATCCACTGGTTAACTGGTCACCATTAACTCCACACAGACTCTCCCACTGGTACATCTTCATCTTTAAATCACTTCCTGGTCTGCTGCCTTCATACATCTCCTCCTACATGTCTCTGTGTGAGTGCAGCTACAGCGTGCGCTCTCAGGACATCATTACCTGCAGTGTTCCCTCAGTGAGGACTGAACTAGACAAAAGGACCTTCTCCTACTCCGCTCCTGTTTCCTGGAACATCTTGTAAAAAGATCTGAAGCTCTCGACCTTTGACCTCTCTAAGTGGCTTCAAAACATCTGATAAGTGAATTGAAAAAACAACATGCTCCTGTTTTTAGTATTTTAAACCGCACTACAACCTTGATGTTTTTTTCACTACTTTTCCTTTTAATTATCATTTTATTTTCATTTGTTAAAAAAATAAAAAATAAAATAATTTTGTACGCATCCTTTATGATCGTCTATTGTTGTCGTTGTCCATTGTTGTCATCATTCTTTGTTAAAATTCAGGTCTCTCTTGTAAATGAGTCCTCGAGGCTCAATGGGACTAACCTGTAGAAATAAAGGTTGAATAAAAAGCCAAATGGAAACAATTCTATTACTGACCTTCAATTTGGAGTCCACAAAGTCCCTAAATTTAATGTTGAAGCAGACAATCATCCAACTTACCAACATCTAGTTTACTCTATACTGAACATCCCCATCCATCCATCCACCCATCCATCCATCCACCCACCCATCCATCCATCCATCCATCCATCCATCCACCCATCCATCCATCCATCCATCCATCCATCCACCCATCCATCCATCCACCCACCCATCCATCCATCCATCCATCCACCCATCCATCCATCCATCCATCCACCCATCCATCCATCCATCCATCCACCCATCCATCCATCCACCCACCCATCCATCCATCCATCCACCCACCCATCCATCCACCCACCCACCCATCCATCCTATTTTGTTACCAGCATTTTCATTCAGGATTGTGGGGGAGCTGGTGCCTGTCTCCAGCAGTTATTAAACAAGCACACAAAGTTCAGTGCCAGAGGGCTGTGATCAGTCTTACATCAGGGAAACTAAACAGCCACTAGCTAAAAGGATGGCCCAGCACAGGAGAGCAACGTCAGGCCAGGACTCTGTGGTCTACACTCATCTGCAGGCCAGCGCTCACTCTTTCAGGGATGAAGACAAATTGGTTTAGCAATACTCTTTGTGGTTAACAGATTTATTGTACCAAATACTAAGTTCTGAACATTATTATCAATATTGTCCTCAGTAATAAATCTGTTTAACTCTTCAGCCAGGGGCTGACACAGACTGTTCGTCGTCACTTCATCACAATGTAACTGAGCCACAAAGCTGCATTACCTTTCACAACAACCATTACGGCTCTGTTACTACAACACTTGGCAGCACAAAGGCGGAAAAGTGGTGGAAAGTAACAAAAGTATTTTAAAATGTTTATTATATTATGAATAACTATTCTCATATATCTGAGAATATGTTTTGATCCTGATGCTCGTCATGATCAGCTTATTTCCAGCTGCAAAAGTAACATTAAAGCTGAATGGAGGATGCACCGGAACAACATTTCTACGTCATTTACCCAGAATGCACTGCAGCATATATAGCATGGCAATGGCTAAGTGACTTTTATTTTTTAAATCATAAAAACTAAACAGCCTACACTTTTTTTATAGTCTCACTTTTATAGCTGAAGCTAATGTCTATCAAATAAAGGTCTATGTTTATTTGTCTGTGATCCCTTTATATTAGTTTACAAAATTACTTTTGATACATAAAAAAGCAGATTCAATGTGAAAATTAAGGAAGTGCTTACCACTGTTCAGCAGCTGCTCAACAGTGTCTGTGTCTCCATTACTGATGGCTTTTTTCAGCACGGAAACATTGTCTCCACACACGACATCATCCAGATTCTAAAATGAAAAGTTAAAAATTAAACACCCAACAATGAGACTGCAGAAATGTTAAATTATAGGCGACTCATGTGTTGAAAGACGTTTTCATAAACTCTATGGATCAAAGTTCACCTGTGCTGAATGTGGAACGTTCAACATATAAATGGTTTTTACATTTAGGCGCGAACAAAAACAGCAAGTCAGGAAAAAAACATGACGGCATAAAGTTTTACATTAGACAGACAAGTTTGTTATTCATTTTGACACACCATACCATTTTATTTATAAAGCACTTAAAACAGCTACAAGGCCAACCAAAGTGCTGTACAGACAGAACAACAGGTAACACACCAAGCAAAATACAAAATGAGGTAAATCAGAATATAGACATAAAAACGATGCAGATAATGACGACTAACCAGTGTGGAGCATACAGGATCAAACACAGATCATCTGGTGTTGAAAGCTACTGAATAGTAGTGAGTTTTTAAACAGGACTTGAAAACCGAGAGGGAGGGGCCTGTCTGACAAGCAGAGGTAACTCGTTCCAAAGTCTTGGTCCTGCTACAGAGAAGGCCCTGTCACCTCTGCGCTTAAGACGAGTTCCTGGAACTGTGAGGAGCAACTGGTCCGCTGACCTCGGGGAGTGCGGTGGGACATACGGTTGTAGCAGATCAGAGAGATGGGGGGGGGGGGGGGGGGGGGG